CAATGTTTTACAAATGCTTTCAATGAAGTCTGCATGGCTGTCTGTAAGTGGGAAAAAGCTGGAAGCTGGCTTAAGATACCAACAGAACAAACTGAAGTGGCCATGACACCTAACAAGTCTTGAAGTGTGTTTGTACAAGCAGTATCAAACAATCACTAAATTCCATGAGTATAAATCTACCCAAACAAGAGCTTAGCTATAGCTTTATATTGCCTGAGAAGCTTCATGTATTAAGTTATGCAAGTTTAGGGATTAAAATTTATTATTTTAAAAGTAGAACTTATTTTAAAACAAATTGTGGTTTAGTATTTAATCTTCTTTATAATCTAATATGTACATTTAGACTGACAGTTCATGAGTTTTTTAAATCCAAAATTTTCTAATCAATCATTATGGCAACTCAATACATTTATAAATCTTAAAGAACCAATAACAACAAAAAAAAAGGTTTACCAAAAAATAAGTTCAGTTTTTGAACAAAAAATCTGAGTGAGTTGTATGTATGCTTGTGTGTGGACAAGAGTCTTACTGTCATTTCTAGTAATGAAATTAATGAACAACTTCTTACATAAAGGTAAAGGATTCAGACAGTCCTCTCTGGGCTATTACATAATCACGACATGGATATTAATGGTGGCAGTAGCAATACATATATATCATTTCTCCAAAGTGTTCATAATACTATCCCTAATTACAGCATTACTAGACAGAAATACCGTAAGAGAACTAGTGTAACACAGTATAATGATCATATTTAAATTAATGTTCAAAATAATGAAACTGATATTACATACCTAATAACACAATGTAAGAATTAGTGTAAGGAAGAAACTCACATAAAAATCAAATCATTAAGGAGCTATGCTCATTTCTTTCATTTTAAATAGAAAAAGAAGATACTTAAGATCACTGTGCCTTATGCTGGAAGGGCAAAAAGGAAAATGCACTGCCTCTAAGCACTTCTTTTTACTCAGAGGATGAAGAAACTTCTACAGCTACCCCTAGTGAAACAGCTACATCTATAGGCAGCCATGATAAAGTATGCCCATTTCTGCTTTTGCCCCATCAGAGCTTAGGACCAAACCCAATGTTTTATGCCTGCCCACTGAGCTAACTCCCCAACCCCAGGCCCAAATTCTTAATCATGAAAAAAATGAATCTGTTTTCCAAGTCTTTTACCCTTTAGAAAAGTAATACAAGTCTGAAAAAGCATTTCTTTTCAAAAAGGTAAGAATATGTATTTATTTGTAAACTCCACAAAGCTTTTGAGTTCTTAGGCATTTATTCAAATGTTGTCATCAACTCATGAGATTTACTCTAAAATGAAATTAAAGGGCAAATTTCAGTGAATTTTTTATTATTATTTTGTTTTCTTCAATTTGAAATAGCTAGTAAGATTTTTCAAAGGTATTTTAATACAGTTTTTCCCCTTTTATATTTTGTTCTATAAATACATATACATTAGCCAGGGGCAGCTGGCACACACCATTAATCCAGAACTCAGGAGGCAGAGGCAGGTGGATCTCTGTGAATTTAAGGCCAGCCTGGTCTAAAGTGAGTTCCAGGACAGTCAAGGCTGTCTTAGAAAGCCAAAAAGAAAAAAGGCCATTTTACCTCACCAACCAGGAAAGTCACTAGGATGTTAACAGAGGATTTTAGACCTAATTAACTCAGGTGCACTCCAAACCCTCTGAGCACTCAACCACTCAATGCCAAGGACTGACTTCTCCATCAGTGTACAATGCCTGCTTCAGCATGGAAACTACATGGAATACTGCTACACATCCTAACTTCCAATAACTTTAGAAGGAATGCTAAATTTTAAATACAACTTCCAAGTATATTTTAAAGAAGGGTTTTCTTACTAACCCTATTTCTACACTAGCTTCAAACAGCTGAAGTTCCTTCTGTGGGTTTCTTCCAGTTCTAACACCAGGAGTTCCTAAACAAACATGAAGTTTCTAAGTCTTACCAAGTGACACTCTGTTCATCTGGTATGGCAGAATGCTGACATTAAAGTAGGTTCTTTTTCCTATCCTTTGGGGGCTATCAGTGACTCACTTTCTAATATGCACTAGTTCCTCTAAAACCTAGCCCCCAGGACTGTGCACACAGCTCTGGCAATGAGCACTGCCTGCTCGAGGCCCTGAGTTTGAGCTCTGGCACCATGGTGGGGTGGTGGGGAGCTGAGTCACTCAAATCAAGACACTTCATTTCTTTCCCATACATTATTCTTTATTTTTTAAAGATTTTATTTTATATATATAAATATATATATATATCATTCTGCTTCCATGTATATCTGCACACCAGAAGAGGGCACCAGATCTCATAATGGATAGTTGTGAGCTTCCATGTGGTTGCTGGGAATTGAACTCAGGACCTCTGGATGAGCAGTCAGTGCTCTTAACCTCTGAGCCATCTCTCAAGAGCCCCCATATATTATTTTTTAAATCCAATAATGTTGATGAGAGAATGAGAGAAATAATGAACTAGTGAGAAGAAGTGTTACTTGAAAATTCTTGGATATTTTTCAGATGATAAAAACAAAATCTACAGATGAACAATGGTATTCAGAAGACATTCCAAGGAAGAGAAAAAAGATCTTACATCCCTCTTTTCCCCAGGCCTTATTAAACACAAATTCCTCAGCCTCACCATCTTTTTTCTTTTTTTTTTTTTTTTTTGCTTTAAAAACAGTTTATTTCCCACTATGCAAACACACAAGCTTCTGATCATGATACAAGGCACCCCAAATTAAATAAAAACTTAGAGAACAATTGTCTGACATGACTCAAGATAAAGTGATTTTAAAGGCAAATGGGTGCCAGCTAGGGGGTGGGAGTAGGCTGATACCAGCATGAGGTGGTGGACATTATTCTTACAGTGTCTGGTGAAATTGGCAGGAATCAGCATGTGTTCATCATACAAGTATTTACCCCAAATCAGCACACTCAGGAGAAACCGAGCACTATGTCTTGGTTTCTCCTGTCTCTTCCTTAACATCCAAAACTTTTCCCTAGCAGACTTGGTACTAGTAAAAGAAGATGATTACTAAACATCCTCAATGTGGCTTTCATTATGAAGAAACATGACTAACATAAAACTTTCATAACATAATCCAGAAGCCAAGTTTATGCATGTTTAAAATTTGACTCTGGGCTGGATATTTGGGTTTTTTTTTTTTCTTCCAGTGTTTTCCATTTTTATAAATATATACCCAGCTTTCTATTACCTTAAACATCCCCAGAACTCTTTGTTCTAGGAACAATGGTCACCTTTCAGCAGTCTCAGTAAAACTGTCATTCAGATAGGAGACCTCCTAATTCCCTTTCAGACTTACTCCAGATCAAGTTAGTGTTACCCAAATCCCAGTATATAAAAGATACATATAGGTTTGTGGGCAGAGTGCCAAAGAATAATTAGGAATAATTCCACATGATCTTGGTACAAAAACATCCAGAAAATGAATGACTGCATTTAATATAAAAAGCCTTGACCTGAATTTAAATGAGACAGATGCAGAAGGGGTAAAGCCACGCTTCAATCTGAGATGGGGCTCACTGCAGTTCAACCGTTCTACAGCCACGTCCAGGCCAGTCCTCCTACAGGCCCCACCAGTCACATTTGAGGTGGACACTGATGGCTTGAAGAGAAGTAGGTAAAGTCCAAACTTGTATTCAACCCCTGCAAATGTTGCAAACTGCCGGTTTGCCACGTGGTCAGGATTCGGATCAGGCAGAGTACAGCCTCACCATCTTAAAGAAGGCCAAAACCCAGTGAAAAACAGACAGATGTGATGACACAGCTTGCAATCCTAGCTTTTGGGAAGCACGGACAGTCAAATCAATTGGGTTCAAAGGTCAGCCAGCCTAACCTACTTAATGAACTCAGCCTGATGAAAGACCCTAACTCAAAGTCAAAGTCAAAGAAAAGGGAACAATACCCAAGGCTGTGCGCACTCATGCACGCTCACAGGGAAACAGAAATCTAGATCACAGTACTGGCTCCCAACAAAAGAAGTAAGACAGAGAACTGGCACAGAATCAATCAATAGGTATGACTGGGCATAGCAGTCATGCCTGTATCCCCCCTCTCAGGAGACACACACAAGAGGTTACGCTTAGTCCTGATCTACACAGGGAGCCCCGTGCCAGCCAGGGCTACAAAGTGAGTCCGTCTCAAAAAAAATCAAATGAAATACATAAAAGTATACACCTACATGTAGATGTACAAATGAACTGTTTTAGTTATTGGTAATGACTTTTGTTTGCAGCTCATCTTGTTAATGCTAGTTGGCAAGTAAAGGAATTTTATTTATCATCAAGGTTAAATGTGAAAGAAAAAAAAAGCATAAACAGAATGGAAATACAGTAAAATAGAAAATCTAGAAACTTAAGCTTTCTATCTTTATACAAAGCAGCAGTTTCCTAATGAAAAAAAACTATTACCAATTAAATGTCTAGACAACAACAACAGGAAGGTAAAAAATACAACAGAAAAAATGCAGGATTACAGAAATCTGCACGAGGTTACTTCCATCATGTGGAAAAAACAGAAACTATGATAATGCAACTGGAAATCTTACAAATTATGGAATCAGTGAGGTGAATATTGGTATTCACCTCACTGATTCCATAATTAACGCGTGGTAATAAAAAATGAAAAAGGTACTTATTAAAGCTGAGATTAAGCATAATTGCTTAAAATACATGTAAAGACAAACTTTTTATCATGTAAAGATATAAAAGATAGTCATTTATTAAAAATAATATCAGAAATAAAATCAAAATTATAACTATTCTAAGCAAAGTCAAAAGCACTATTTTCTATTTCCTTTACCCAGATAGAATGTTAATCAGAAAGCCATACAAAATAGAAGACAGTATTTTGCTATGCTGCTGCATGTTCCCAAATATGCAAAATGAAAAATTCATGAATTCAAAAATTTACAAAACAAATGCATGCACTTGCTTTAACATCTTCATGGAGGAATTTACCGTTTTGTGGCCATTCTGGCAGGCTACGTGCAGTGCTGTCTGCCCCATTGCATCCTCAACATCCACATCACTGACATGTTGCACAAGGTCATGGAGTAACTCTGTCCTCCCATTCACAGCCAGCCAGTGTATCTGCGAAGTCATGTCATAATTAGCATTTGTGCAGGAGTCAGTGCATAAACAATGCTACTCAGAGAACTGCTGAGTACAATATTCAAAAAAGATACTGCAATAGTTTTTTCCTGCATTTAAATGAGAAAAACAGAACAAATGCATCAAGATGTTAGCCATACCACCTATGAATAACAAAAATCAACAATTGAAGGACTCAAAACAGTAAGTATTCTAGACTTAGATAACCAAATATTCTGCTTTTTGGATGACACTGGCCTCTAAGCACTGGCCTCTCTAGCTGTTGCTAGAGAAAACAGTACCCTTTCTTTCCCAGAAGCAAATGGACATTCAAATAAAACATACTTCCTATAAACAGCAAATATATCCTACACTAATAATAAAATATGTAAGAACACCTCCTCTGACATGCCCCACAGTCCAGTCTGATGGAGGCAAATCCTTAAATGAGGGTCCTGTTTGCCGGGTGACTCTGATTTGTGTCAGGCTGACAAAAACTAAGCAGCACAGAAACCAACATTATGATTCATGTTAAATTCCTGCTTAGCATATACAGGCTCCAAGTTCAATACTCAGAACTAAAACTTGGAGTGGGAAGCCAACAATTTCAGACTAGATTATTATACACAGTTTCCACTTGATTTTTTTTCATTACAAATATTAAGATATATTTCCCTGTCTTTAAAGTGCAGACTAATTACATATCTTTCAGCTGTAACACACTCACACTAAAGTAACAGCAAAAGAGTAGTTTTGAAGGAACCTGCCCATAAGACAAGGGAGAAACACAAGTTCTGGACATTGCATTCTGAATGCAAGATTACATTATGAGTAGACGCTATTATACTGCTAAGACATACAAACTGGGATTTTCACAGGAATTGCCGATTTCTGTTCATGATTGGGCCCACTCTATACTAAACCACTAACAGAACACTTCAAATCTCAGGGAAGCTTCCTCTTATGTCACACATAAAAAAAAAAAAAAATGCAATAAAAGCCAGGCATGATAGGACACCTTTGAAATCCCAGCCTATGGGAGCTGAGGCACACCTACTGCTATGTCTTCAAAACAGCTCCTCAGTGATCACATTTATCTCTACTTCAAAAGTAAATACTACTCAAATGAATTTATAATTATTTGATTAAAATTTTGTGATTTTTAACAATCCCCTCAGCAGTATCTAATACAATTTCTCAGTATATAAATCAAAAGTATACTAACTTATTTTTGCATAGAAAAACAGGATTTTAAAAAGTACTGGTTTAATTACAATAAAACAAACCTGAAAGGATATGGATTAATAGTGTTTATCTAAGTACAGGGTATATATAGTGAACTCTCATTCCCTTTGTTACCTAAAGACATATGGAAAATAACTCTTGTATAATGAACTGGTAAAATACCTTTTTTGTTTGTTTGTTTTTTGCTTAATTTTTGATTTCTCTATGTAATTATGGCTATCCTGGACCTCACTATGTAAACAAGACTGGCCTCAAACTTGAATTCACAGAGCTCCAACTGCCTCTGCCTCCCAAGTGCTGGGATTAAAGACATGTGCCACCATGCCCAGTCCATCTGGTAATACACTTTAACAGAAAAACTCCCTTGAAAGTCACTAACAAAAACTACAGGAGTAAGGCTTCAAAATAAATGCAAGTTATAAATATAGAGAAGAAATGAGCACGGTGAATATTACTTTTCTTAGTAAACTCTTGCATACCTCACGAGCAACAAGCACTTCACAAAAGTAACCAGCAGAAACACTTGTACTATAATTTGCATTAGCAGAACATTCATTATTTATTTTTCTTACATCTCAGATAAAATTGATAGTACATACTGCTGTAAGGCCTTCATTATTACAAATGTTGACATCAGCACTGTATTCCAGTAATTTACTCATGCATTTCTTCTGTCTGAAAAGAAAAAAAAAAAACAGTAACAGATAATTAAGTTGAAAAATGTACAAATGACAACTATTTGACTGAAATACTACATACAAACAATATTAGATTACAACTATCAGTATCAGACAATGTCTCTACCCACAGTTTCAAACTACAGATCCAATATGTAAATAAACACCATTTTGAAATAAAATAGAAAACTGTTTATGACCCAAATAACAGAGTAAAGAAACAACACAATCCGGTTTTCATTTCATTGGAAAAAATTCATCTTCCAAACTTCTGAGGAATTTCTACTCTTGACTAAATAAATTACTAGAAATGTCCAGCTTTGGCTAACTAAGTGGAGTAACAATCTTCATTTGAAATATAAGAAGAAATACAATGGACACTGCAAAATACCACATTGTTGTATCCTTATGTTCTTGATTGCAAAATGTTTAAGATACTAAGACAAATTCTAAACACAAGACCAGGCTGGGCGTATAACATGGTGGTAAAGCATTTGCTTAGCATGCTTGAGACCCAGTATTTGATACCCAGTAAGATTAAAATAACATAATCAAGAGTATTGGCAAAATGTACCCCTCTCTACCCATATTTTGTTTTAAATAATGTCATGTGGTAAAATATATCTAAATAAAATCTATCATCTTAACCATTTTTGTTTGCTTGATGGATTGACTGATTCTTCGAGACAGGGTCTCAATACACAGACCTAGCTGGATGGCCTGCAATTCACCATGTAGACCAGGCTGGCCTCAGACTCAGAGATCTGCCTGCTTCTGCCTCCCAAGTACTAACGCTAAAGGCATGCCCAGCTCATCTGAACCATTTTTAAGTGTATAGTTCTATAGGGTATTTTAATTATCATAATTTCTTCTAAGGTTGAAAAAACATTCCATTATCTGTATATACTAAATTTTCCTCATCCGTCCATCAATTGATAGGCACTTGGCTACTTCCTTTTCTTACCATTATACACAATGCTGACATACATTTTTGATGATTTTGAGTGTATCTGGACGTGAAAAGGCTAGATCAGAAAGCAATCCTACTTCTAAATTTGAGGCACTATCACATTGTTCTTCCCAGCAGCTTTATCACTTCACATTGCCACTGCATGGGTTGCAATTTCTCCACAGCCTGGCCAATGTCATGTTTTATGGTTGTGTTCTTTGACAATCCTTTGACAGCTGGTAGTTCATTAGTTCTCCATTTCCTAACTACTGATGTAGCAGGAATTCTAATTGGTATTAATAATAAAAACCCAGAGACAGATATTGGGGTTGAAGCTCAAGATCAGAGAAGCAAAGCAGTCAGCCACTAGAGAGTTCTCACCTCTACCAATGCTCAGACTGAAAGGGTGGTCCTGTCCTCAGACTCTCTCTCCAGACTGCACTGATCCTCAGACTGCACTGAGCTCCTGTCTCCTCCCGCCTTATATTCCTCTCTAGTGCTGGGATTAAAGGCGTGGGATCCCAAGTGCTTCGATCACCTTTGTGTGAGCTCTGTTTCTCTTTTAGACTGGATCAATTTCGTGTAGCTCAGGGTCACCTTGAGTTAACAGAGCATTGGGATTAAAGGTGTGTGTCCCACCACTGCCTGGCCTCCCTGGCTGACTAGTGTGGCTAGCACTGCACTCCGATCCTCAGTCAAGCTTTATTTGTTAGATCATAAACAAAATATCAGCACATACTGCTGCTAAGCACCTTCTCGCATACTCAATGACCTTTGTGTGCCCTTGAAGAGGTGTCTATAGAAACAAGTCTTCTGTGCTTCTGAACTGACTACCCACTTCATTTTGCTCCTAAAACTCCCCTGTAACTTGATCCAGTCCTAGTTACTATCTAATATTTATCTTCAATTCACCTTCACTGATAGCTGCTCAAGAATCCTGTGACCTAGCTGGAACCACATGCTTTCTAAATATTTTTTTTCTACTGCTATCCCTCACACAGCACTCCATTTAAGAGACAGAGAAACACAGGTAACTGACAGATATTCAGTACTGAATTTAGAAATTATGATATAACCTGTGCAATGAAGCTATTTATAATCTGATTGACTAAGTCATAATATAGTATATCATGTATGTATTGCTTGATACATACAGTATACCAAATAATATATGGCATATAGAGTACATAACATATATTTACTCAACTAGTTCATCTACTTTTTTGTATCATGGATTATATAATTGTTCAATCAAATTAGTGCCAAACATAGCCAGTTACACAAAAATTTTTAATAAAACTTTATCAACTGGTTATAAACCTTCAACCCGAGCGTAAATAGCTAGCACAGCTAAACAACTACTTTTTTTGTTTTGATTTTTGCCTCTTGAAACAAGGTTAAATCTCATTTAAAAATCTACATTATATTCCAGAAAATAAAGCTGTGAATATATACTGAAGTTTACAATTATTCTTACAATTTCTGTCTAGACAACGTAGAGATCTTAGAAATTCATAATTAACATAATCAGAAGAAACACATCTGACAGCTCTATTAAGTGAGGAAATACCCAACCCCAACTGACACATATGCAAAACCCCTATATCTCAGACTCATGGAAAACCACACAGCTGGGGCAGAAGGACTATATAAGACAGAAGACCACAACATTTGCTGTGTGATAGTGATAGTGTCTTCAGGATATTACATGGAAGCTGCGTCTATGACCTATCAACAACATGTTACCTAAACAAGACTAGCATAGTGCCAGCACCAATTGACATGACAATGCGGACAGAAAATTCCACAGTCTCACTTCAGATGAGGAGCTAACAAGTGGTCAATGCCTGCTAAGAGAGAGAGAGAGAGAGAGAGAGAGAGAGAGAGAGAGAACCAGTCTCCTAAAGACATGAGCTCCCACAGACCAAAAGTGCTCAGCACTCAACAAGCATGCATACAGAAAAGCAAAATGAACTCTGTCACCCTGAGTTCACAAAATTTCCTTATAGCCTGATCCAGTCCTAGTTACTATTATGTACATGTACGTATATACATGTAATAATAATGATTAAAAGTTCATGAATTTGGTAAGGGGACAAGGAGTTGGAGGGGAAAGAGGGACGGGAATGACAAAGATCCAGTACTCATGTACGAAATTCTCAAAATAATAAAATTGCTGTGGGATAATTGTTTTGAATACTGTGAAGATGTGTCTCTGCCAAGGCACCTTTTGATTGGTTTAATAAAAAGCTGAACGGCCAAAAGGTAGGTAGGAGAGGATAGGAGGGACATCAAGGCAAAAATAGGAACTCTGGAAAGGAATTAGAGGGGCGGAGATTCACCAGGGAAACATTGGACGTAAACTACATTGAGGTGAGGTAAGAGTCATGTGGCAGAGATTAATGTAAATGGGTTAATTCAAGTTATAAGAGCAATTTGGGAACAAGCCTAAGCTAAGGACAAAGTTTCATAATTAATAAGAAGTTTCTGTGTCATTATTTGGGAGCTGATAGTCCAAAGAAAGTCTGACTACAATTACTAATTTAAAAAAAAAAAATGCTGTTCCAAATGTATGCTTGTGACTGTTGTTCATCCAGATGGAGTTCTAAAGCCTATTCAGAATCCAATGTAGACCATTGGTATAGCTCCAAAATAAGCAGTCGGCAGAAACAAGACCCGAAAAACCATTTAAGGCAGGCTTGTTGAAGAAAAGTAACAATGCATAATGCTCCCCCTTCCAAAAACAAACTGCAGAAGGTACAGGGCAAGACAGAAGGAAAACCTATCCTACCTTTCTTATTTAATAACCACAATTTAATACATTCCACAATCTCTGTCAAAGCAACCCAACAACTGAGCAGCTTTTTTGCTACAATTGAAAGCTAAAATACTGATGCTAGTTTTGCTCTTTATGAACTCATAATTTACCCTCCAAATATTTTTAAAATCAGGTTTCAAACCTGACCAATCTGTAACCTACAGATAAATAATAATTTCATAGGCTTTCCTTTTAATTTTTCATATAAACGTGAGTAAGGCTGGATCTCCCACATAAAGAGACAACTATTTTCCTACCCAGATAATAAATTAAGGAAGCTTATAGTGGCTTATATAAAACAATTAATGGATTTATATTAGAAAGATGTTGGGCATGTGGCTCTCACCTACAATCCTACAACTTACAAGCCTAATGCAGAACTGCTGAAAATCTGAACCAGCTTGAACTACAAAGATCTTGAATTTAAAAGAACAGGGGACAATACAAGGCAACACTAATAGTGACAAAAGAAATACAAGCGCTAAAGCAGACCAACAGACATATACTACTCATCTCACATTGACAGTTGAGGAAGCAAAAGAAACCAACTGAACCAGCCAGGAAGACAAAATTCTTATATGACTTATACTTCAGTGTGAACAAATTTGATTTCATAATACAATTACAGTAAAAAGCTATTTCTGAAACTATTGTTCCAGAAGTATTAAGTACTCAGTGATTTACCAAACACTCAGTAAGCACTTCCATAGTGAGCAAGGCAGATATTCAACGAGCAATAAAAATTAAGATATTTAATTACTGAACATCCCAAGTATTCTTGGTAGACATAAGGCAGGCATCTAACTTAGACAATAGGTCATCTGCAACTTTTCATCTTGCTGACTGCTAAGTGAATTATGCATTATCTGCCCTACTTCTGAACCTGCAAAATGTTAACTTTTTTCATTTTTTATTACTTTTTATTATTTTTAACTTTTTATTACTGCTAACAAGAATAATCAAAAGTTCTTGGTATGTTCTACTTTTGTTTACAAGGCCTTTACTTCACAAGAAATGTACCTGAACAGTCTTTCTAGAAGACTAAGACCATTCTGTCTTAAGTTTGACACCTATCCCACAATCTTCACACACTGTGTGTCTAAGAGAACTTTTTCATCCCTCCTGTGTACCAAGCTATTCTTTCCTTTGTAGTTGTTCAGAAATACTGTAAGATATGTCACCATTCAGGAAAGATCTCTGCCATTATCCTACCAATATAATTAATGGATCTAAAAGGTAGGGAATAATTTATGACTTCGGATATGACATATCACAACATATCTAATATATAAATAAGTTGGTACTTTGTTACCTATCCAAAAGGTACGCAATCAAATCGGCTCATTCATGATGTGGGGCATATCAAATACACTTTAGACCAACTACTATACCCTTCCCCTACCCAACCTAGATATAACTATGGTTCATATTGCCTTGGTTCAATATATACACTTGTATGGAGAAAATTTAGCCTCAAGTTGATGAGATAAACAATTTTATCTCCATAGCCATTTCATATATGTAGCTACTTCAATTATATAAAACTCCTGACCAGAGCAGAAAATAATACCTGTAAGATTAAAGATACACAACAAGAAGTATACTGACAGAGAAAATTTACAATGTTTGAAAAAGATTTATAAATTTAAATTTATCAAGGCCTAGATCAAAAACTGCTTGTTTTCATTTTAAATTTTATTCCCATCACCATTCCTTAATCCAACAGAATTTTAATAAGCAAATAAATACCAGTGTGCTCTAGTTCACTTTCTACTGCTTTGTTAAAAAGCTAACCAATTTTGGGATGAAAGGGTTTATTTGAATGACATGTCTCAATCACAATCAACCAGCGAGGAAAGTCCAAACAGGAACTCAAGGCAAGATCCGAAACAGACTATGGAGGGATGATGCTCACACAACCCAGGATCACCTGCCTCTCCCTGGGCTGGTTCCATCCGACCACAGCAGTCACTAATCAAGAGAAGGTCCCTTGCCTACAGGTCACTCTCTTTGAATTGTTTTCTTGCTGTGTCAAGTTGACAGAGAACTAACCAGCACATGAGATAAAGGCAAAGAGATGTCATACCTGAAATAACTGGCAATAAAGGACAAGAGAACACCATAAAAGGCATAGTAAGGCTTAAAATAACACACAATAGCAATGATATCAATCAATAATGACCACAATTATCAGGAAGAAGCAAACATTACCTAATATGCCATCTTTAAGTTTTCACATTTTGGAACTACTAGTACTGTGTGAGTTTTGTTGTTTCCTTTAAACACTTTTACTTAGCAAACTCTTTCACAGCTTGATGACTAACTTCAGCTGCCAAACTCTACAGGGTCTAGAATCCTGTGAGAAGCCTCTGGCACTTTGAGGATTATCTTATTCATTCACTGCTGTGGAAGATCTTCAGCACTCTGTGACAAAATCATGCTTCCTGCCTGTGGATATGACATGCTCAGCTCCTCCAGGTGCCACCACCTTCACTTCCACACCAGGAATGGACGGACCCTCACACCAAAACCCCCAGCTGCGAGCAAAATAAATCCTTTCTTCCTTAAATTGCTTTTGTCATAGCACTTTATTAGGGCAACAAGAAGAGCAACTAAGACAACAGAGAAATGAGAAACAGGGTGGGGATAAAGATCAGTGGTTGGACATATAGCTAGCTATTGAATACAATCTGTCAGTAAATAAATTAATAGAATAAAAAAATAGCTTTAGTATTGAGAGCTATCCTTCACTACAAAGATTACTCTTATATAATTCACTCTCCAACAACTATAAATTGTGTAATATGTTAATAACTGAAATCCACTAATAAAATTAACTAAATAGTTTTAGAAATAAGCCAAGGAGAGTGGCAAGATTAACAAGAAAAACACAAAATAGACTGTCCTTACATCAAGTAATAATAACCCTCCATTTACAAGATGAAAACTATCAGAAAAATTGAATAAGTTATTAAATATGTTATCACTCACAAATTTAATAATTTTAAAGAGAAAAAGTAAGCAAATGTCCGTAAAAGACTAAAAATAGTTATAATAACACACCATTTTTGTAATTTTCCTCAAGATAAATGTTGAGAAGTAAACAATGAAGAATGAGTTTTTTGAATGTTTTAGTCAGGACTGATGGTATGAGTCAATGGAAGAATGATGTTTACCCATTTCTAGCAGCCAGATGAAGGGGTGTACAGCCTGAAATGTCTTGATAGTTGGGATTTGCTCCTTTCTTTAACAGAAGAACCAGGCATTCCACCGATCCACAGCTAAAATAATATTAAAAGGCAGTTCAGATACATTAAACAACAGCCATTCTAGACAAAAATTTAAAAACAAAATCTATCAAACGCATTATTTTTAAGGTCCCAGTTTACCTACTATTTAACTCAACAAAAATTAATTATCCTGTCTTCAAGATTCTACTATGAAAGTTCAAATAAAGCAAAACGATAATTAGTTTCTAAAAGATACTATACAATATTCTTGACTTTCTGGCTTGCTGGGAGCTAGTTAATCATGAGCAATTAGTTTCAAGACTGCCACCTAAGTCCTGAAAGCAAGACAGATATTGGTCAGTCAGTGCCAGGATGTAGGTAAAAACAATACTCCCATCCTGGTAAGAGGAATAGAAGGGCTGAGTCAACAGGCATCCACTGTGCCCTTTTTGTTCCTTCCAGTGGTAAGGGAAAGCAAATGTTGGTGAGTGTTCATGCTACACACATCTGAAATAAGCGATGGTCACATAAACATGAGACATGAATTCCACATCACATCTCACAAGTAATGAAGGGGAGACACTGCACATCAAGGGCTAAACAAGGCTGCTAACTCCCATTTTCCCCACAGCTTACACACCCTTGCTCTAGACCAGAGTTTAAGGACAAATATCTCAGGCTTACTTTGCTGCAATGTGAAGCAAGCTTCTCTTCACACGTCCAAAGGCATAATTGACATCAAATTTTGAATTTGACAGGAGTTCAGAAACAGACCTATACCCCCCAAAAAAGATAAAAAGAGGAACTGACTTGTAAATAGTAAAGACATTTTTAGAACATAGTAAATCAAGTCAAGAGCTCTTTACCAAGAGTTACTAATGCCAACAGTTCTCTAACCGAAGAATGACAGTTATTGCATCCCTGTTCAAAAATCAACAAAAGAAAAGCATGCTGGCATAAACTAGAAAGGCTGTATCCTTACCTGTGTTGATCAGCCATAACCATTGGCATCAATGTGTAAACAGCAGTTTCATTATCTGAATAAAAAACAAACAGAAAGAGAATTAAAGTATTTCCTACTTCTGCAACAATGACACAAATGATTACAGTTTTCTAGCTGCACATAAAAAGTGAAGAGACTCCATAAGGGAAGAACAGTATAGAACTGAAGATACTGCAGATTTCACAACACAGAATTTCTGTCTCTCTTGCTGCCTGTTCAAAGAACTGTCAAAGAAAAGCTTAGGTTGTCTACAAGCTAAAGAAAAAATTGGAGACCTACTATTTCCTGTAACTTTAGAAAGTGACATTTGATTTCCAAAGAGGTATTTTTTTAAGACATGTTTTATTGTAATTAAGCATAATTTGGTATTAAAAGTTCAGGCAGGAGGTTTACAGCAGGCAGATTGGGGCTGCCTAAGGGTTCTGAGGGCCAACCAATCAGTTTATCATTCTTCTCATAAGTATCCCAATTTTAAACACTAGGATGTTAAAAGACATGTGTTTGCTACAATAATTTTAAAATCTTAAATGTATGCCAGGCATGGTGGCTCTACCCATCATCACAGTACTCAAGAGGACTGCTACACAGTGAGCTCCAGGCCAGCCTGCAATACAGACAAAAGCCAGAAGGGAGGGAAAGGACAGGAGTAGGTAGGGCAAAAGAACAAATGAGACATGAAAATAAAAGAAGGAATACTGGGGAAGGACTGGCTCAAGCAGGGAGACAGGAGGAGATGGAAGAGAAGGGGCGACCAAAACCAAGTACATGTAAAGATGAAAAAATAACACCGGAACAGAATGGAAAGCAGGCTCAAGGGTAAAGAACAACGACCGCTCTTGGGAAGAAGCAGAGTTTGGATCCTGGTGCCCACATCAGGCGGCTCACAACTACCTCTAACTCTAGCGCCAAGTGATCTGACCTCCTCTTCTGACCCTCAAGGCCACTCCAACACACTTATGCACACAATCACACACTCTCAAGATGCAAAAAAATAAAGAAACAAATAAATATCTCCCACACTCATGGATAGGTAGGATTAACATAGTAAAAATGGCATCCTACCAAAAGCAATCTACAGATTCAATGTAATCCCCATTAAAATCCCAAAACAATTCTTTACAGACCTAGAAAGTATACTCAGCTTCTTATGGGGGAAAAAAAACAAGATAGTTAAAACAATCCTGTACAATAAAAGAACTTCTGGGGCCATCACCATGCCTGACTTCAAGCTCTACTGCAGAGCCATAGTAACAGAAACCAAATGATATTGGCATAAAAAGACTGGTTGATCAATGGAATTGAATTGAAAACAGACATAAATCCACACAGCGATGGACACCTGATTTTCAACAAAGAAGTCTGAAATATACATTGGAAAAAAGAAAGCATCTTCAACAAATGGTGCTGGTCTAACTGGATGTTGGTAGAAGAATACAAACAGATCCATATCTATCGCCCTGTGCAAAATTCAAGTTCAAGTGGATCAAAGACCTCAACATAAATCCAGACACACTAAACCTGACAGAAGAGAAAGTGGGGAATAACCTTGAACTCACTGGCACAGGAGACAACTTCCTGAACAAAACACCAATTGCACAGGCACTGAGATCAAGTATGTTCATAGCTGCTTTATTCAGAATAACCAGAAACTGGTAGCCTTGCCTGGTCATAGGAGATGGCCTGTTCAGGCTCCATATCCCTCATTGATAGGAGTCTTAACTAGGGCCACCTTCATAGATTCCTGGGAGTTTACACTGCACTTTCTAGCTTGTCCTCAAGAAGCCCCACCAGTTCCAGGTGTCTCTCCTAGTAGTCTCTCCCTCCACCTATCTCTCCTGTTCTTGTCCTCCTCCCTACCCCATCCCCAAACTAAAACCTAGGATAGAACCAAACAGGGCTGGCAAAAAAAAAAAAAAAAATCAATGAAATGATTCCTAATGACAGTCTGCTATACTCATAGATGGTGCCTAGCCCAACTATCATCAGAGTGGTTTCATCCAGCAACTGCCAGAATCTGATGCAGCCAAACATCAGCAGCCAAACATTAGGCTGAGCTCAGGGAACCTTCGGGAAATGGAGAGGAAGGATTATAGGAGCCAGAGGGGTCGAGGGTGTCAAAAGAAAACCCACAGAATCAACTAACTTGGGCTCCTAAGGGCTCACAGAGACTGAACCTCCAACCAGGGAGCCTGCATAGGACTGACCTAGGGCCTCTGCATATATGTGACAACTGTGTAGCCTGAGCGCCTTGTGGGACTCCTAAAAGTAGGAGGAGGCTGTCCCTGACTCTTTTGCTGGCTTTTTGGACCCTTTTCCTCATACTGGACTGCCCAGTCCAGTCTTAACATGAGGGGAGGTGCCAAATCTTACTAGAATTTGATATGCCATGTTTGGTTGGTATCCATGAGAGGCCTCCCCTTTTCTGAAGAGAAACCTAGGAGGAGTGGATCGGAGTGGGACAGAGGGGAGGTTGGGGGAGGGACTGGAGGGAGAGGAGAGAGGGGAAACTGCAGTTGGGGTGTTAAAAATAACAATAATAATAAAAAAACAGAATAATAAAAAATAGAATGCCCTAGACATGATCTACCTGAAAGAGCCAAACTAAGACAATAATTCAAAGATTCATCAAAACTGAAAGACAAATATAAACTACAGGAACAAAATGAACAAATTCATTGTAATCAAATGAACATATGTAATCCAAGAGACGCTGTAAGAAATATGCCATTCTTGCTTAGCAACAAGGGAAACACTTTATTTTTAATTGTACTATTCAAGTTTCCAAGCACTCAGACTGCTGACTAGAACTTCCCAAAAAACAGGTTAAGAAATGGATAATTAAAGTCTTTAAAATGTTGATTATGTAATTAAATCATGCTCATCTTCTAGGAACAAACCCTAAGGAAGCAGAAGACTAAGTCTTAAAAAAAAAAAAAGCTGCTCCTCATACAGTGAGTTTAAAAATAATTAGATGCAAGTTTTGTTTCATGCATCCTATCAAGTCCTGCCAAATCATTAAACATATTTATGGGTAGACATCTGTGATGTTTTCTAAATGCAAAACACTGTATGCAATATGTAAAGAAAATGCTAACATTGTTTATTACAGGGAGTGCAATGGAAGATTTTTCTTTACTTTTATTACCAAAATTTTCTGCAATGAAAACATACTAATTTTTAAAGCCAGGAAATATTATCAAAGCCTTCTGTATCACATTTATGCAAAATATTGGATGCAAGTTAGCAATACAAATAGCAATGGCAATAGAGCACACACAGCCTTTATCAGGTGACATTAGAAAATAAGTGAGAACAGCCCTTAGTGAAAAGATTCACAGGTGGGTGTAGAGGAAAAGTTGATGCTGAAGTTTACTTACTAAAATTAGGACTATTCTAAATCAATTACTTCATTCTAGAAAAGTAACACACACACAAAAAAAAAAAAAAATTTGAGAAATAGTTGCCATAAACTCAGAATCACAGAGAACAAAACTTTTCAAGAAAATTATCCCCAAAGTCGCCAATTCCACATTTGTCTCATCACTCCCCGCAGCTAACTGAAACAAACTTTTGGAGGAAACGGAATAAAACAAACTACGCAAGGAACGGTAAGCGAATGCCTGAAATGCCGGTACTTGGAAGGCTGAGGCCGCCCGCTCCCGAGTTTCCAGCCAGCCTGGGGTACAGACCTCTCCCACTGCCACCAAAACGCCTGACTTCACAAGGCAGCCAACAATTTGCCTTCCCCAGCCCCAATCTCCTTTATCC